ATATAAGAGTGTTTGTGTCAGACTGAAGAACACACATGGTGAGTTACTGCTTTATTTATCATCTACCTCAGAATATTCAGACATTAATACTATATATTTTCAGAAAATAAACAAAATGTCAAAGTATACCAAGTATGAAAATGTTTCTGTTATTTTTGCCTAGATAAAAAAACAAAAAAACAGATCTCTGCTGTGATCTTCTGAGGAGAGATTGAGAAGATGGCAGTAAGTTCATCAATAACTCTACATTCCTAGAGATGTTTTCAGTGTGATGTTCTCTTCTTTTAATGTGTAACTGAAATGAATCAACAATTCATATATTTTCAGTAAACTCCTGCACTGAAATCATTATGTCAGATGTGTTTATCTCCACAACAGACACCAGAAACACTAAATGAGAAATTCAGTGGAACCAGAGCTGCTGAGAAACCAATAATAAAAGGAGCATTAAAAACTCAGAAAGTGTTCTTATTACCCATACGGTAATGTAATATATGTGCATATATGAAATATCAAAATATGTAATATATGGTCATATAAAGTGAAAACATATGAAACCTATTAGAAACTGGAACAATTCCATATATTGGCATATACATTTATCCCATTTATTATATATGTTCATGTATGTATAATACATATTTTGACATTTGTCTCATATATAATTATAAAAACAACTTAAATGTCTTTGTATGTGTCAAATCGGCTGCCAGGCCACCGGGAATTGTCCCGGTTCTCCCGATGGCCAGTCCGCGCCTGATTTCCACAGACACGCAGAACGTGCGAGATACATATTGTCTTTTTGCGGCTTAACATTCACAGACACTAGTCCATATCGCGCTTTGATTCAAGTGTACTGACCTACTTTTGACTGATTCGTCCAAAATGTGGCATATTCCGTCCGTGTTAGGCTAAAGTAATTCCGTTTTTATGACTGGATTCTATGAACCAGTCTGTGTTTTTCGCATCGCGGAAATTATAGGGCCGTATGTCTCAGAGTAATCAGTGCAATTTGGGAAAGAAATCAATGAAATCTGTATGTGGATGTGTGTAAATATTCAAATGTAATCCCCTTTGTAATCGTTAACATTTTCATAAGTAACTAATTTAATTACACATTTTTTCTTAGAAGATTCTTTTCCCCCATTTTCTGCACAATCCTTTTTTTTTTTAACCTATTAAAAAAAAAAAAAAAAAAGACTGGTTCAGCGCTGTGTGCCCAATGTGAAGTTGTGAACTTATCATGTCATCCCTTCTTTTGCCACAAACTTTTCTCATACTTCCTACTTCTTTGTTTGTTTCATATAAGTGTCTTCCCTTTTCTTCCACTGTCCACAGCTCTTGCCATGTATTCCCGTCTTTTTATTTAAGCTTTCCTAGAGGGACATAACATTTTTCTTTAAAGGCTTTTTTGCCAACTCATCTGCTATTTCATTTCACACAATACCACGTGAGCAGGAATCCACAGAAAGAAGACTTTTATTCCTAGATAGAGTTCTATACATGGTCTGAGGAGATTCTATACGAATTTCCTATCTTGAGTCAGATTTACCATTTTTAAGGCTAATAAGGCTTGATAAAATGTCAGAGCAAATAATAACTTAAGGCAAATGAAACTCTTCCACTCATTGAAGGGCCTGATGAATAGCAACCAATTATGAGGAGTTTACAGATAAGAAATGACATGTTCTTTTACATATTTTAAAATCCAGCAGTGGAATGACAGAGTCATTCGGGATCTTTGGAACCATCAGTATATATCTGAGTACAATAATGATACTCTTGATCTAAATACTGTTTCACTAACTATTCTTTTGAGATCTGTTTTGCTTTGTTTTCGTTTTGTTTTTTTCCAGCAAGTGCAGATCAACCAATGGCATTGGAAATAACCATCAAGGAATAGCTGATATTCCCACTGCTGGACAAATTTCATAATCAAAAATTCATATTTTTGTGAATAAAAGTCTTTATTGCCATAACTTAAAGAGCCCAAAATAACACTTCAAGATAAAATAAACACTTAACTAAAATTTAAATATAGCATTACAATACTTGAATAGTAGGTCATTCCATGTCAGATCAACCAAGTTTTGATTGTTTTGTTAATATAAAAAAAATAATAAAAAAAAAATAGTAATGAAATCCAAATTATTAAATGTCATTGATGTATATTTACTGAGTAATCCAATGTTTTATAGAGGGTAAAATGACAATTTTTGTTGATTTGGAGTCAAATTACGGGGGTAAAAATGACTTTAGAAAGACAGCATCATCATTATTTTATTTTTGCAAAGAGATCAGTAGGTCTATTACTAAAAACTGTTGACTTTAGCTGTCTTTGTTGCATTATATGCCAACTGTAATGGTTCAAAAATGGGAACACGATCTTGTGTTTTTTGCTTCACGTTTGCATGTCTGTAACTCAAGAAGTATTAAAGATCTCTTAATATCCTTTTAGATTTTGGTTCTTAAACTTTTATTTTTGGTATCTTCATTTTAAAGGCCCTATGTGGTTCAGTCCCAGAGATATGGGGATCTCAGTGTGGCTCCATATTCAAACCAAATGTGGGTCACCTTGCATACAGCTGATACTTAATAAATAATATTGAAACTAGAAATGAATCTCGTTTCCATTGCATGCAACATACCTCCCTGAGTGCCAAAATTCCACTGAAATGGTCAAGTTGAGGGACATTAACTTTCTGTCAAAAGCGTATTTATTTTTGTTCATTTTTCACAGCCTCTGGAGCTACCAACAGTTCAGATATGCAGTATCGTAAATATATGTTGCATTGGCATCCCAATATCAACATCTATTTTTGGCACTCAGTGAGGTATGTTGTGTGCCATCTTTTTGATAGAGGGAAACAAGATACATTTCTAGTTTCCGTATTATTTGTTCTTCATTCTTCTTTAAACACAATAAGTATCAGTTGTTTGAAAAGATTCCTACATTTGGGTTTTGACCCGTGAACATACTGTAGGCCAAATTTAACAATTTGGATGCACTGGGATCCCCATATCTATGGGACTGAACCATAGGGTCTTAAAAATTAAGATTACAAAAGAAAAGTTTATTAAGATATATATATATATATAATATATTAAATTAAAGACAGTTCCAATGCAGCAATTCCCATGAAATTTTGACCAGATGTTGGTATTAATACAAGAAATCTACACAGATAAAGAAATCATAATATAACAATCCATTAAAAACATAATTTGTAATAAAGTGAAATGACACAGGAAAAAGTATTAAACATGCTGGTGAAATTGTATTTATTACTCAGAACAAATACTGCATTGGTTTTACCAATGCACAAGTGGTACTTCATTGGAAATTTCCGGTTTTATATAACCTATTGTTACTTTTGATAAGAAACATAGTCTCACCTTTCAAATTCTGTCTATTTTTTTTTTTAAGGAAATTCAAACAATAAAGACCAGATGTTGGTATTAATACAAGAAATCTACACAGATAAAGAAATCATAATATAACAATCCATTAAAAACATAATTTGTAATAAAGTGAAATGACACAGGAAAAAGTATTAAACATGCTGGTGAAATTGTATTTATTACTCAGAACAAATACTGCATTGGTTTTACCAATGCACAAGTGGTACTTCATTGGAAATTTCCGGTTTTATATAACCTATTGTTACTTTTGATAAGAAACATAGTCTCACCTTTCAAATTCTGTCTATTTTTTTTTTCAGGAAATTCAAACAATAAATGCCGTTTTGACGCTCTTTGATGTGGCATGACAGATCGCTGTATAAACGCCTCAGTTTAAACGGCAGCGTGGAGCGCGATCATCCCTTCCAATTTACTATTATTTTATAGAAAATGCTAAATAAATTAACAAAAACTATTTTTAAAGTTTGGGCTCCTAAACATTAGATCACTCGCACCCAAAGCAGTTATTGTAAATGAAATGATCACATCTCTGGACTTTTGGTAGTACCTAGGATAGCAAAGTCCACTAAAGGAGGTAGAGCTTTTTCACATTTGGCTCCCAAACTCTGGAATAGCCTTCCTGATAACATTTGGGGTTCAGACACACTCTCTTTGTTTAAATCTAGATTAAAGACACATCTCTTTGGCCAAGCATTCAAATAATGCATCTCATAATCGTGTGCTGCAGTTATATCTGATCAAATGCACATTATTATTCCTTAGCTTAGGTTGAACAAATCATTTGCTTGGTTGGAACAGCAGCTACGCTAATTATGTCTCTATTTGTTTCTCTGTTTCCTCCTTTAGTGGTAACTAGGAATTACACAAGCTTCAGTCTGGATCCAGCCCTTACAAAGACCTGAGATTGCCAACCCCCCAGAGAGAGATGATGCCAACCCC